CAATCCTGCTTAACATGTAATGACAGTTCAATTTAACTCGAGTTAAGTATCTTTGTAAAAGCACTTAATTGAAATTAGTTTATTAAAGTTCAAGGGCACATCATCAGTAGTGCACCTTGGGGTCTCAGGGTGTTTCGGCCATTATCACTAGACACCCTACCCAAGGAGAGCCCAGTCATGGTTGATCAAGCCATGTTGTGTGTCCAAGATAAAAATCAGAGTTAAATCTAGTTAAATTGAGATTTGAGTTGTGTATATTCTTGCAGGATCATGTGTGAAGTCTCAAACAGGATTATTGAGGGACCTCCATTAGCCTTTCATTCTCCAAAGATGAATCAGGAATTGAAATCAGATTAATGGAGAATAAATCAAACCTTTATTTCCAAGAGAACATCAACTCTGGTTTTAAACTGAATTAAGTCCAGCTTTCTTCTTCTATCCTTTACTTTTTAGGTTTTTAGTGGTCCCAAAAGAAGGCTAAACTACTTATTGAAAAAGGAGACGATTTACCCAACGTTAGTCGCAGCAGATCAGCTGTAGGCACATGCGTTCTCTGTGATCAAAATGGCAGCGTGCAGCTCTAGTACGTAGTAAAGAAGGAGCCATAATGTACTCTGGGCAATTCCAGCGGGCATATAGTCCAAGTCTGATTGTCCGTTCGGGTTCTTTGCCGACCTCCAATTCTTTTCAAAGCTCGTTTTAACTCATCTAGTTCGAAAGATGAACTCATACTGATTTCAACAATGTATAGTTTTTCAGGGTTTCTATCAAAGGCCACTAAGCTAGAAGCCGATTTAAAGGCCCAACCTCAAAGTATGTTGGGAAATACAGCGGGCATGTTTGTAGTCCCAGTCTGATCTTCCATTCAGTTCTTCGCCGATCCCCAAATTGTTTCAAAGCTCGTTCTCACCCATCTAGTTTAAAAGGGAAGTTCATCCTGAATCCACTGGTGTAAAGTTTAACAAGATTTGCATTAAAACTGTCAAACTAGAAGCTAATTTAAGATCCCGACCGCTAAGCATGATGGGTAAATGAAGCGGACATGTTTGTAGTCCAAATCTAATTCTTTAGTTCCAGCCTTTGGCAGAAGCTCAGAAGTGAAATTAAAAGCTGTATCAAGCTTCATATCAGGAAAAGGAGTTTTCAAACAAAGCTTTAAAAGAGCTTTGTTAAAAAACAGAGTTTTAAAGACAGCACTCAGCCTTCAGAGGAGCAATCAAGTAACTGGGTAAAACTCGCAGACATCTTTGTAGTTCTGATCTTATTGAACCGTTCCAGAGCATGGCAGGGCTCACAAGTGAGAATAGACCCTTTTCACAGTGACGTCAGACAATGGCCGCCATAACTCGAAGCGGTGTATCTTTACTTCCGGTGTGATTTTGCTTCGGGAAACCTGACTGAAAAATTCACGGATACTCATTATCTTAAGGATATAATAAAAGGTAAGGTTAATAATAACAGCATTTAAGTGTTAGATAGCTGTTATTACTCAATGTCAATCCACCATTCTCTGACTGTGCATAAAATAAACAGCCTCCGATCGGAGAGTAAACCAGCTAGCAGCAGCTTTAGCCACAGTTAAGAAAAATATACACCGCTCTGTAAGTGCTGTAACATTTAGAGATTCACTTTATTTATCAACTTTAATAAAACAGCATTTAAGTGTTAGATAGCTGTTATTACTCAATGTCAATTCACCATTCTCTGACTATGTATATAATAAACAACCTCCGATCGGAGAGTAAACCAGCTAGCAGCAGCTTTAGCCACAGTTAGGAGACGTATACACTGCTGCCTTTCAGTGCTGTGTTTTTAAAAGTTTCACAAAAATCACTTACATCTTCCAACACTGTTGTTTAGAAAAGCATTTTAAAAATTGATTTAAGCGCTATCTGCCAAATAATTTACGTATTCTGATTTGATTCATAATTTATCCATTTGTTTTGTTGTCCATCTTTCTCAGCAGTAGCCGACCTAACAACCTATCATATCTGAGATGGTCTTGTTCCTCTGTCCATGGCAGGTTCAGTCAATCAGCTGTGGGACATCTGCTGCCTAACGTCAAACTATCATGGGCCTCTTAATTTAAAAGGAGAAACCAGTACAGAGCCTCCCTGCTCTTGCAAGTCACACTTCTTGGATGAACACTCACTACTGCAAGCAGCTGTGTTAGAAATGAAATCTTTGTGTATCTATCCTGTAATTAATATCTATATGTATCTATTAATAAATGAATTGATGTTGTGTAGAGTTCTGTAAAAACTATTGTAAATAGCTTCTCTTGAGTAATCTACATATGTGCAACTTTTACATTTAAATTGCTTCTTTTTGTAAATTTTACACATCTGGCAACAAAGTATGTGGAGGAGAGGAAATGCTAAAATTAAAGCTGCCATTGTGGAACAAAGACATAAGGTTTGTGGCCGTTTCTTGCAAACATCTATGTAATAATTATATTAAACACTGTGCATGGTTACTACATTACACAAACATAATTACCACAGTTAATTTAAGTCATTGATAGAGAAAATGTATTTAGAAAAGCATATCAATTTTATTTCAACATTATGTACTCAGGGTTTACAACTGAAGAAGACATCCATGTAGGGTCCTTGGCAGGTGCCAGTCTGCAGTGAACTGGTGGATGACAGAGGCAGTGGTATACTGTAATAAGCAGTTTGAAGCAAAAGTCCCACCATGTGATCCACAGGGTTTTCCCACCTCAGCACAAACTTCATGCACTTTCTTTCCACAGGCACCACAGCAGAATCAAGTGTAACCTGTTAAAAGGGATATAAAGGTGTTATTCCTATATTATAAATTTTGTACTGCCAAGTCTACAACCGCAGGAAAACAAAGTCTAAGAAACTTAACCTTCTAATCATAACATTTCATAAATATTCATTGGAGAAATGTGAAGGAGAGCGAAATAGTTCTTATATTTCTCCAATGAAACGTTAATATTTATCTATCTATCTATCTATCTATCTATCTATCTATCTATCTATCTATCTATCTATCTATCTATCTATCTATCTATCTATCTATCTAAGACAGAGTCTTCCTACTCATGTCTTGATCGTAGTAAGAGTTTAACTTTTCAGGATGTGATGGAGCAGCGGGTGTTTTGCATAACTGTCAAGTTTTGGACTTGTGGCTACAGGTAATGTCGCTACTTAGCGGGTGGTGAAACTAGCGTATGACGTGAGGAGGGTTTAATACGATCATGCATTTTACGTGACGGGTGGCAACCCCAGTCTATACTATAAAAATGTTATTAAGATTAGAGCCTAAATACGTTCTATTTCCAAAACAGAAAGGCTACGTAATGTTAGCCAGCTAACAAATTACTATTGCTAGCCTAGCATATCAACTAACAGCTAGAAAAAAACAAAACACGTACCTTCGTAGTCAAACTGGTATCAATCAGCGAGGAATTTTTCCAGTTTAGATTATGTTGATGAAGAAAAACTGTTTGCAAATAGTGATATATCTTCAAATCGTATTTGTGGCAGCTGCTTTAGAGTCCAGAAACAGCGTTAACTACACACACCGGAACTAAAGATACACTGGATCGAGTCAAAACGGATGTTGTCTGACGTCATGTGAAAAGGGTCTATAAAGGCTGAATCAAGCTTCATGTCAGAAAAACTGAGTTAGAAAATAGAGAAATTAAAAAGGAAATAAAAGAACGTAATGAAAAAGGACTCCACAATCAAAATTCCAATCTTCAGAATAGGAAACAAGCAATATTCCTGCATCCTGTGGAAGCTCAGAGCGGAGACTTAAAGCTATGCAGGGTGTGCGCATCTGATCTCGGGGTCGCCATGTTTGTGTTTGGTGATGTGTTTAATGTATTCATCTCCTTTAGCTAGGGTAGGGTAACCCTAACCCATATGCATGCTGGAGGAGAGAGAGGGCGGAGGGATGAATGAAAGAGTTTTAAGGCACTCACCCTGCTGGCAACCCCATGCGTAGCATCATAAAACAATATGGATCAATACACTTTGAAAATATATACAAATACATGAAAACAGAAATGAAAAATACTTCTACAAATAGATGGGCTGTCATTGGTCTTACAGTGTATTACAATAACATCATTGAATATATATACATTGATATATTGTATACTTAATATCATGCACAGTTTTGTAATATAATAAAATTTTAAATTTTTTATAAAATATATATTTTTTTAATTATTAACATTTGTCGGTCTCTTTAATTTGATCAGGTTTTGATCTGGGTTGGGCTTGTTTGG